ATGGGTTTCGTTCACTGCTGAGGCGAGTGCTTTGCATTGTTAGGCCATACATCACAGTGAAAGGTTTGCCACTTTTTCAGCATAATGTGATGCTGGGTTATGTGTATTAAAGAGCTGAAGGGAAAGGAGGAGAGAGAGATATCTTATGGATCTCTGCACTGTTTGTCATGCTGGAATTTATCTGTAGAAGTTGCTAAAGAAGAAGTAATATTTCAGAAAAGAGTTATGAGGGTCCTCTGAGGTGTGTGTGCGTTTGTGTCTGTCACTGTATTGTTTAGAAATGTGTCATCGTGTGGCTGTTATTGCCGAGGCTGGTGCAGAGCAGAGCACCGCTTAATATCTGTGTTTGACATAGAGGCCCATTAATAAGGGCCTGATCCGAGCCCAGTGACAGGACTGCTGACAGAGGAGGATCATGGGGAAGAATCATGCCTTGCTGAGGGAGCCTGGGCTGCAGGTAGACCCATTCCGCCTTCCCCAGGTGTCATTACGGATGCTGTTGAGGAAGCAGAGAAGGGGAGGGGCAACACTGACATCTACATTAATCACCCCGGCGCACATCACACACTACCTCCTCCCACCTCCACATCCTAATCATCCCCTCACTGAGACCCAAACTCAGTAAGGGGATATTCAGCCTTGAAAGATATCCAGCTAAGAACTCCCTAAATACCACTCTGATCTGATCATGACTGATGTTGGTACCTAAACCTCTGACCCACCACGCAATTAAAAACACTTTTCTCCGTCTCCCTCAAGATGCATAAGAGAGGCTGCTCTGCAGAAACTATGTTCTATCTGTGATTCATAGTATATCGGAATTGTGCTCTGCTTAGATGCAATTAAGGTGTTACAAATGCCTCCATGGAAATGTGTCGTCTCAAACCCCCCAGAGTGCATTGCTGTTGTGGTTCACATTCAGTCTCATATATTTCAGATTCTCCACTTGGGGATCCTTTATTGATCTTTAGCGTGTCTTATATCCTCTACAGAAATCTGGAATTTACAGGACTTTGCAATTTCCCTTATATTTCTTTACAGTTAGCCACAAATTTACCCAAAACCTTAATTCAGTTTATTGGGATTTTCTGACCTGGACTAAACTGCATGCTACTAACAATTCTGCAATGCAAATATTTCTTTCTCATGTCATTCCATTGGTTATTGTCTTCTATGTCAGTTGTGAGCATCTACTACAGCGAGAATCAACCCAGCCGGCTGAAAATATCATTGCGTGCAAGTTCAAATTCTGACCATGTGATATATCAGCTGGGAAATATTGCATTTAAAGGAGTATTATAATTGCACAAACTGATACTGGTGTGGTCATGCAGCTGTTAGACCGAATAACATGTCTACAATTTAATTTTTTTACAAATAAATCTAAATGATGTGATACCTTTATGCAACTGCACACCAGGGTTAATGCTTTTTATAAGCAAATAAGGTTTACCTAGGAACATTTTAATCGTAGTTTAAATACTGACGTTTTGTGAAGTTCTCACATAAAAATCTTCGGGGATAAAGTTGTGGAAATTTTGAACAAAAACAGAAACTAATGATAATGAAAAGGTAGATGGAGCTAAATACTGGGAAACCATTCAATAGAACTTGTTAGAGGCTGCAACAGACTTATTAAAGGGGAGGTTCACCCTGTATTAGAACAACACTAAACAAAGAGATGTTCAGAAGAATTATTAAAATCATAGCGTACTGATGCCAGAACAACCCTTTTTGTACTCACATCAAAAGAGTTTTATATCCTATGAGCTGAGTATGAAGCCAACCTATAGCTTCATAATGAAAAACCAAACCAAAGAAGACAAAGACACCCTTCATACGCTCATATGTGTTGGTCTATCACTTTGATCTAAAATCATATTGAAGTTTTGAGTTTATGAGCCATAATATTGAAATGGGAACGCACTATTAATGTGTTTTAAGGCTCTGTGGATCAGAATGGATGTGGGACAGCAGAACAATGTTTTCAATGAGTAACTAAACCCTGGATCCATCAGTGAGCAGGTGTTGGGTGAATAACTTGAGACCAAATAATTGAATATTAGTTTGGATCCAATTAAAAAGACTTGCAAGGACAAAAAAAAGAGACAGTAATTGTGACATAATGAAATTAGGTGATAAGAAATGCTCTTTTTAACAAAAGGCTGTAGTAAAGAACCTTTCTCCCAGATGCTGTTAACCCTCATTGGCCTTATTCTTTCCTAACTGGCACACTCTCTTTACGACCCTGTCAGTTACATCAAACTAATTGTTTTTTTTTTCTTTGTGTCTCAGATTTAAAAATAAAACCACAGATCACTTATAAAAACTTTGATAGAGGGTATTTGTGTGTTTTGTGTGTTTTATTTCCAGCATTGGAATGAAACATAAGCTCATACCAGTGTGTCCATGAGTTATCAGCTTCATTGCCTAGCCCCTACCATCAAATTTTTTTATGTAATGTGTCGTGTCCTGAGTAAACACAGCCTCCAGTTTAATTAAAATAAATCCACTTTGAGCTGATATTTAGAAACCCGGGAAATATCACAGCCTCTGCAACAGATAAAGTGATTGAGAGCGGGGAATGAAAGGCTGAGCTTGGGGGAGAATTACACTCTACATCCTTTTCCATCAATGAGGCCTCTATTGTTTATGTTTGAAGTGGGATTTTCTTCTTTGTAATTTACCTCTTTCCAGTTCCCCTCTTTTTTTTCTTTCGGTTGTATTTGCCTTGAACCTTCAGAAACACTGATTACACTATAAATTTCTGCTTGACTCTTAATATTTGCACTCGCAGTAGAATCTAGGACACCACAGAGACACTGAGAAGACAGCATTTGCATGCGGTTCACAAACATATTAAAATATGAAGACAAATCACTGTGCCTAGCCACTACACAGAAACAGCCAACAGTAGAGCACCACTGAGAAGACTTGCATCGTGTTGCCGCTCCTAGAAAGGGCCTTTTTCAGGGCAAGAGTCGACATGTAGCTCAACAAACAAACAGATGAAAAAAACCCACGAGCAGTCAAAGCTATTATTAAAGGTGATAGAAGTGTTTCCGTTTGCCAAAGCCATTTTGTCATGGTCTTAGCCTCCGTACTTTGTTACAGGGAGAACTGGGTTTTCAAAGATATCTTCAGAGGACATACTATGGACTTTGTTCTGCGGATGTCTTTGATGTAAATCATAAAAGTAAAAATCCAAGTCTTTTAGTTCACATTCCTGTAGGTTTTGAGACTGTCTTGGTATGAAGCACCAGCTTAGCAAGTCAGTACATTATATATATATATATATATATATATATATATATATATGTGTGTATATATATATATATATATATATATATATATATATATATATATATATATATATATATATATATATATAATATAATGTTTTTTTAAAGACATAAAGAACAGTAAATTAAAACTTTCTACAGTTCATGCATCGTTAATGGGAAGTTAACTTTATGTATTATGCTTTTAATGTTTTCATTCTAAAATTTTTGGACATTTGTCACAAAATTTACACTTTATGCTCCCTTGTCAACTTTACCAAAAAGCCCCTCCATAACATGATGCATCATGATTATTTGCAGAAATGATCTGTTCAGGATTATCTGTTAGTTTTCTGATTCACATAGTGTCTGCATGTCTTCCCTCATATTTTCTGACTCACCCCTTGGCTACAAACAATACTTTCACTATTTATCTCTGATGGACCCACTCTTTCTGAAAGCTCAGATTTCAATGGTGTATGGCTAAAAGGTGTCTGGTAGGCTGAGTTGAACATCTGTGCATCTCCAGAGTTACAATGGGTGATTCTTCTCTGATTAGTGTCCTACTCAGCCTGTCATTCAAATGAGGAATTAAGGAGTGTGCCGTGTTATGTTAAATGCTTTGTTACTAATGTTCTCCAACAAACAGTTTAAGCCTTCATCTCACAGTTCAAATTTGCACAAAAAATGTGCTGATTAATACCCTTTTTTATATGCACTGTATTGTTATTAAATTAATTTAGCGATTTAACATACAGAAGCAGAACCATGCACTCCCACAAATAGCACTGTCGTTTACTACATCACTGTTGGGTGGGAACACATATCCTCTCTTTAGAAGGGATCTCTCTATAGGGCTGAATGTAAAACAGAGCCACTAGAAGTTGTTATAACAGATACCAGTAGGGGGAGCTCACAGCTCGCATCAGTAAAACCCTTGTAAGAAATCCTGTTGAGGTTGCTGGGCAGGAGTTCACGCCACATATCACAAACCCACCCCACCCTCCATCTCTAAATAACAACATGTTGAGTCCAGATCTTTGCATTTAGTGTTAATGTTGGAATTAATCCATTCTATGAAATGCAATGGTTTGAAATTATTTTTGCACCTTAACTGTGTTTATCTTTCTACTTTTTTCCCCTTGGCATAAAGAGAGACAGATCTGAGTTTATTGTTGGTATGTGGAGCACCATCCTGCAGAGGCTCGGTCAATCACAGCATCGATTTGTGACAAAGATCATATTTACAATTCCGCATATGCATCTCAGCACATTAAGACTCACGAGTTAAGCACCTTCCCTCAATAAATTATAGTTGCATCTATCGATTAAACATTTATCACATTTTCACAAAATACATTGTATTTTTAAATTCTAAAGGAATCTTTTCTCACTATTAAGGTGCATTTTGACTGATGCAAATGTTGAACTTTGAGTTGTTTAGATGCACTGTTGCTGTTTCTCCTATCACAGTCCTTTTATTCTTGGAAAGAAAATAATGCTTATAAATGATTTACAAATGCAACAGCGCTCTAAAGGTTTGCCATACTTCTTTGTTTCCTATATTAATATAAATGGTGGTGTAATAATAATATTTTTAAATAATAATACATATTTAAATATAAATCAAACTTCCTGTACTTTAATTTCCTCCCATGCTGCAGCAGTCTGTGGCACCGCTGCTGATCAGCTTCAGTGTTTGGATGGGAGAGCGCGCGCTCCTAGTGGCAGCACCGTTTAAACCCAAACGCGCAGAAGGAGAGAGAGACGCAGCAGAGGATGTTGAACTGTAGTGTGACTGTAAATTTATAGGGGCTATATTTTCCCCCAGCTACGCGCATGGGGCTTCTGAGAGCCGGATCTCTTAAGAACAAAAACAACTTTTTGTAAGGAATGCCTGGAAGTTGAAGAGTGGTTTCTTGGTTGTCCATGAGCGGAGACGTCTTAGCTGAGGATTTGAAATGTGCCGGAGAAGCTCCTAAAGAAAAAGAGAAGACCTGCAGAGTTTTTCTTTTCTTTTTTTTTTTTAGTCTGCACTTTTATTCTGTTCTGAAAGACTCCAAAAAACAAACAAACAAACAAACAAAAAAGCTGCTGCTTAGAGCAGGAGTCGCGGATGAACTCAGCGGACAGACTGGGATAATATTGCTCAAAGAACCGAGAGTTTGGATTCAAGGTTAGGCTGGATGAGCTGCTCCGGATGAACAACTTTTAAATGGATCCTTTCTGTGTCTGGACATTGAAACTGGCTCTGGTCCTTGCGTAGGACAGTATTAGGAGCTGTCCATCACTTCCAGAACCGAGAAGTGGACTTGTGCGCAATCTTCGCGTATTTTTTTCAACGCGCAGTTAAAATAGAGGATTTGCGCGTCCGCTGTGGATGTTTTAATATGCAAGGATGGGTCCACTAGCGTTCATCCTTGTTAGTGGATTACTGTACTTTCAAGCAGATGGTAAGTTCTTAAAAATGGGTTATATCAAACGGCACAGTTAACAGACTTTAAACAGCGCCGACATTTTCAATCATTTTCAATCCTTTTACCAGTTTGGACTCCAAGGCTGCGTCTCAGCCGTTTCTGATTGTTATTATTCTGAGTAGAAATAATATCTGAATGTGAATTTTAATATCACAATAAACCCTAACTAGTAGTAATTTCTAATTCTTCGGGACTATAATTGGGAATGAATGCGTAAAAGTATCGCGTCCAGTCAGTTCAGTTCAACAGATAGCCTCCCACTGCCACTGATAATTGATGTTCTGTTGCTTGCAGTGATTTTTACCTCCCATTTAGGAAATATAAATTAAGCTCCTCTAGCCCTTACATGCTACATTTTGAAGAATAGTATGCAACTAATAGGAATAGAAAGTCTTTAGATGTACTAATTACTCGTCCAGATATTGGAATCCTATATTTTATCTTAATCAGTCCCAAATCCCTAATTAAACACTGTGGTTTGATAACCAATGATGAGTTTAGTAAAATTGGCATAAAGATTAGGGAAGTATGCTTTGATCAATATATAAGGATAATCATGCATATGTTTCTTCTTTTTTTGTTTTGGATTTATTTCTACTTCTTGGAACGCAAACTGATCTAGAGCACTTTTCTCCTTTGTGTTACTGTTTTCATGAAGAAAAAAAAATCATCAGTTGATAATCAGTCAAATTGAAATTTACAAGGCAGATCTCAATCTGGAAATGGGTATTAGCCAGGAGATGCTCCACGTTTAGATCTCTAAAAGCATTTATTTTTGCTTTGCACAAGACTACATGAAGGTGTTAGTGTCTGAATGATTTGTAATGCTCTCATAAGACTGGTTATATGTTATAGGTCTGATAAACAAGACAGAGGCCATCCTATAATAGAAAAAAATCTATGTTTAAAAAACCATTTCAGTTATCTAAATTAAAATGAAACAAACAAAGATGACTTAATGTTATCTTTGGGATTATTTTTTAATCCCAAAAGCACCTCCTCCTTATTTTTTATTTTTATAGTCCTTATGGTTTAAAGACTCTGTTGCTAAATTGTGCCGAGACTGGCATTAACCAAATATAAAAAAGCATTGTGAAAAGTGAAATTTGTTTTCTAAGAGATATATTTTTGATAATGATGTAAAAAAGGAAGTGTATCTTATTTTATTATGTATATAATTTTCCTTTCTGAACACCCAGAACAGTCAGTCATTGCAAAGTCAGCATCCTTACATTATGATTTCATGGGGTTTCATGGGATTCAGTGGCCTACAAAGAACTGGTTTAATGGGAAAATTTACATAAAAGCCTAATTGGCAAAGTTAATGCGGTGACTCACCACAGTCATGAAAGCAGACTGCTGGAGAAAGAAGAATGGTTATTTGAACTTGAAACTTGAACATTTGTTATACAGTATATATATATATTTATTTATTTATTTATTTATTTATTTATTTTTTTTTTCCACAGGCTCCTGGTCTGTTCTTGTGTTGGAAATTTTGAAAAATGCATGCTGAGACATTAAATCATCACCTGTGGTGTGATGATTCAAACATGTTTGCCTTGTATTGTTTGTACTGCTCAGCTGAATGTGAAGAGGGTATTTTGCCCTCACTAAATGCACGAGTCTGCAAGGCCCCATTTTTTCTTTGGTTTCACCTATCAACCCCTGCTTTTATTCATCACAGCTGCAAGTTTTATTCTGAGTCTTTTCACTTCTGTATTCATGCCTTCTGCATTTTCCAGTATTCTTTTCTTCTTTTCTTTTTTTCCACTTTAAGTTGCGTCTTTTCATCTTCTCGACCAAACCCACTGGTTGCTAGGCACAGGCTGATGGCATTACAAGCTTGCCAAAAGAGAAAGGGTGCACCGTTTCTCCAAAGCAGTGGATATTCCCAATCATTTGCCTGTCACCCTTCTTCCCACTCTGTTTTATTCTCCACCTACAACCAAGTTAGATTCACCCATCACCCAGCTTTTTAAGAGGCAATCCAATGGTCCTTTTAGAGGGAGGAGCTTCTTCGAATGGTCCACTTGGGTGTACAAAAAGGGCTGGAGTTGTATTCACTGGGTGCTAAATCCTGACAAAGCCAGGCCTAGTAAATGGCGCCAGTTGCTGTTAAGTGTTCTGTGATTAATACTGCCAGTGTGAAGAAGAGAAAAGTTGATGGTTAAAGAGACTGAAAGGAGAAACAGCATTAGTCTTGAATGCTGTGGCAAGGGTGGATATGGCAGGAAGTTGTTGTGACTGCAAATGTCAGCAGCTGCATAGTTTTCTGATCTGGATTATTATATGCCTCTTTATTGCAGACCCAATTTCTTAGCCTGTGCTAATAATATACCTCCTGCATGTTTGTTTCTGAGTCTGGTGACATCACATTCACACTGTGTGCTGAAAGATGGTACAGTCTAACTAACTAAAAGACCACTTGGAATCAGAACATAGTGGGCAGCACCTTCTCTGCCTGTAGTGTTGGGGTTTCTCTACTTCTAATTCAATAAAATATCAACTCAGATTGTGAGGAGATGTAAGGAGGGGAGGGGAGGGGAGGATGGGTGTTTTCAAATTAAAAAATGAGAGAAGAATTGTTTAACAATACAATCTTAGGTCTGGAAATGGCAACAATGATGCGTTATTAAGGGAAGACATTGGCGACTAACAGCTCTGTTGATGATCATGATTAAATGGGAGAGGTTTAATGCACTAGCCTATAATGGAAAGTAAGCCCAGATCAAAGTAGTCTAGGTGAGCAATGAGGAAAGCTCAGGTCACAGTGTAAGAGCCGCTGTCTCGCCCCAAATGTGATTGTTCTGCTTGAGCTGGCAGCATTTAAGCGATGTTATTGTAATCGTGGTTCATTTGCTGGAATGGGGCTACTATAATGATGAGCCTTCATCTGAGATCTATGAGATGCTTCTCTCTACTGTCTCTCGTTGTCTTGTCACTTTCAAATGAGCGGTTTTCCGAAGCCCTCAACACTTCACCACTGTTTATTCAATGATTATCGTCAGAAATGAGTGACTAGATTAAGACTCTGTGACAGTGGTTATAAAAGGAAGGGAGTTATGGTAGAGAAAGGACTAGGGAGAGGTGTGTTCTTAGAAGTCCTTGTGTATTGAAATGATCAGTGTTGCTTAACTGGATGCAGGCCTGTCAATTCACAAGAGTTAACAGGGAAATCTGCTCACTCTAGGAATCATGTTTGAGCGGCCATCACAGACTGAGACCTTGATATTTAAAAGTTAATGTATTGCTATGAACTTCTAATAATGACAGCGTACAACTCTTACTTACATTGACACTGAACAAGTCCCCCCAACGTTTAAATCATTTATCTTGTTCCAATTTATTTGGTCTAAAGAAGAACAAAGACAATCTTTTTTGTCAAGAAATAGTTTCTAAGCAGTATGAGAAAACTGCAGCTAGCCAATCATTAGCCATTTAAGATGGTCAGCATCTGACTCAGACCTTCATATGGAGTTAGAACAATTCTAAGGCTATTTTATAATTCTTTAATGAGTATGGGCTGTTTTTAGTCATTAATTTCTCAGACAGATCAGGATTTCTTTATGGCATTTTAATTCTAAAGCATTTATGCTATTTGTGAAAAGATTACATTATCAGTGGTTTATTTGATATAGAATCAAATTAAAATATGGAGTAAAATCTGGATCAGTTTAATCTACACTGATTGTACCAAGAGTTTTATTAGAGGAAAACCTTAATTTTACTTGTGCCTACAAAAATAATTTCTCTATAGGTTATTGTCTCACCGCCTGAGCGTGATGTATCATCGCTCCCCTAGATCTTACAGATCATTCCCTTTAACATCCCTCATGCATATAGGAAAATGTCAACCACAGACAATGCACTTGGTTGGTTTTTCAGTAAGGCAACATAATGCAGCGAAGGTAATACTTCTAATTCATTGAGCATCACTCATGCATAGCAGTGACATTTACAGAGCAGAAAGTTACATAATAGGCTAATGGTATTTCTTAAATTAAAATAGTGAGAGATTACTACTGAACCAGATACATGTTTACTGAAATTGGTAGACTGTGCATTCCCTTGTGTGACCTGTATATTCTTGAACTTCTTAACCCCGTCATCTTCATCTGTACACGTACTTTCTTTGTACAAGCATATATCAATGAGGGTGGAATTTAAACACAGAGGGAGTTGTTGTACACCTGTGCTGGCTGTGTATAACAGGAGTGTATGCGAGGTAGGGGTTGGGGGAGGAGTAACATGATGAATGGAGCAGGGTGACTGTGAGTAAAGTGCCTTCACCTGTCTTACACACCTGAACTTTAAAAATACACACCTGTGCTTTCCCCTTTGAGGCCCCTGCGCGCAGATATAATCCCCTTTCTGTTCCGTCAATGTCTTTGTTTCCCAAACAGCTGATGAAGAGCCAGGTTAACAGAAAATACTCTTCTAATTACTGTTTTATAATACTTTATGACATGATGATGGTAAAAGAGGCTTTGCTGAGCAGTTGTGAATACTCCAGTAGCTTGTGAAGCCCAAACTGACTCTGGGTTGGTTAGATAAATCTCTTACATTGGGATTTGAGGAGTAATCTTATCTATGTAAAACTGAATAATCTTAAGATCATGACAGAACGTCAGGAAGTCTGATAGAGAAAGGATCGCAAGTTTAGCTTATCAGTGTTTTTTATGTTGCACGCTACACTGAAATGTTGTCTTGGGAGGCATTTGTTTACCGTGTGTCCAGTTGCCTTTAACTTACTCTGTGTTAGACAGCTTCAAAGCTGCCTTCAGATAAGGTGGGAAAGATGTCAAGGTTGAATGACTCACAGAAGTACACAGCAGATAATGCATGTTCATGGGTACAAGCCCACACACAAGGCTTGAATACACAGAAACATCCCTGTTCGTACAAGCAGACATCAAGAGGTTTCTTTAACTGCCCTACTCAAATAAATGAAAATGCTCTTCCCGTTTTTTCCT